ATGCCTCAAGTACAGAAAATGGCTATATTTCCCCACAAACTTTGCTTTTGTGACCAGGACAGTGATTTTTTTAAAATTTACCTATTTTCAATGAGAATTCCAGATAGATTCAGTGCTGAGTAAATTTGGAGTAACTTCTAGAACATTCTAGAACTTTCCAGTAATATAAATATTACTATAAATACAGCTGCCTTCAGCCCACCAGTTCAGTTTAGTTCCAGCTGCTTAAGTAGACACATCTGCATCTTTCTGAGATGCCATAAAGAGGCTGCAAGCATCCGGCAGACACATTTTTCTATGTCTGCGGCCAATTTATAAAGACAAGAGCGAAAAAGTACTATGTGGAAGCATCTGCTAAGATGTGAGGCCTACAAGGCATATTTCGGCATGCCTGTTGGGGATTAAGACAAACTCTGGGGACCTGATTTCACCTGCGAGCAATGCAAAAAAATTGGAAGGGAAGATTAACAATTGTTGCTCGGAATTTAATGTTATAAAATTTGTAAAAATGTTTAAATTGTACAAGTTTAAATTTTAAAATGTTTTACAATTTTTAATGTTATTGAAAAAAATATATAATATATGAAAAATGTTGCGAGAATCTCTTGCATAATAGTCATTGGTGAAATAAATTTATTTTGTAGGATGGTACAGAGGGGAAACGAGAGCCATGAAGTTCGCTATCTCAAGAATTTGGCAGGAAATCACTGACCACTCAAGCAACTGCTACATCTGCATGGGGGACCCTTCCAAACGTCGAACTGGCAAGAATGCACCTGCTATCACGTATCTGTAACTTCCTTCATCCAGCGCCCCGATGTCACACTGTCATGAGCTCCCCGTACCCACTCCTCTGGAGAGAGAGCAGCCGTCTTTAGAAGATAGCAGCAAGTCAGAGAGCGAGGGAAGACGTTATAGATCCAGATGCCAATTTCAGAGGTGGAGCTGAGGAGATAAACCCATACTACCCCAACCAAAATATCTCAACGACTTGATCAGAGATCTTGGTCTTACCAAGTCCAATGGCAAGCTTTTGACGTCTAGGCTCAAGCAGTGAAACTTGTTGGATGCAAGTGTGCAAGTCGCAGATCAGAGGAAGCGTCACCAACGTTTTTGCAGCTTCTTCACCCGTCAAGATGGGCTTTGCTTCTGCCACAATGTGACCAGTCTGTTCGAGGCAATCGGAATCGCCTGTAACCAAAATGAGTGGCGCCTCTTCATTGACAGCTCATCCAGGAGTCTCAAAGCCGTGCTGCTCCATAATGGTAACAAGTACTCGTCTCTTCCCCTGGCTCACTCGGTGCACCTCAAAGAGGATTACAACAGCATCAAGACCTTGCTGGATGCCTTGAAGTATGATGAGTACAGCTGGGAGGTCATCGGAGACTTCAAAATGGTGGCATTCCTGATGGGTCTTCAAGGCGGTTTTACCAAGTTTCCCTGCTATCTTTGCCTTAGGGACAGCAGGGACACCAAGGCGCACTACCACAGGCGCGGCTGTACACAGCGGACCGAGTTCTCTGTGGGGAGGAACAACATCAAGTGGGAGCCACTGGTGGACCCCAGGAAGGTGCTGATGCCACCACTGCACATCAAATTGGGCCTTATGAAACAATTTATCAGAGCTGTAGATAAGGAGTCAGCATCCTTCAAGTACCTTCAAGACTTCTTCCCTAAGCTGTCTGAGGGAAAAGTCAAAGCCGGTGTCTTCGTCGGACCACAGATAAAGAAGATCCTGGATTGCAATGAATTCCCCAAGAAGCTCACTAGCAAGGAGAAAGCGGCTTGGAACAGCTTTGTCGCAGTGGTTCGTGGCTTCCTGGGCAATCACAAGGCTGAAAACTATGTGGAGCTGGTTGAGAATGGTGAAGAACTATGGCACAATGGGCTGTAGAATTTCCCTCAAAGTCCATATCCTTGATGCTCATCTTGATAAATTCAAAGAGAACATGGGAGCGTATTTGGAGGAGCAAGGCGAGCACTTCCACCAGGATATACTGGACTTTGAACAACGATACAAAGGACAGTATAACGAGAACATTCGCGGGCTGATTTGTGAAAGTGGTTCACAGTTTCATCAAAAATCTCGAAAAACTACTCACTTCTAAATCTTTTGTAGTAATTTTTGTATTACTTTAGTATGAATACATATTCATTTTGATTTATAAGTTGTTTTTTTTACTTTATGTGAACGAAAAGAGACAAATTCGCCTGTTTTCTCATTGAAAATAGGTAAATTTCAAAATATCACTGTCCCGGTCACAAAAGCAAAGTTTGTGTGGAATAATAGCCATTTTCTATACTTTTTAGGCATAAAAAAAATTGTGTTACATACTGTCATGTAGGCATTGTCTTTGACATTGATTGGCCTACACCAGAGACAGCAGCCTTCTTTATGGCCTAGTCTCACTAGCAGTGTCTCACTAGCAGTGTCTCGACACAAGTGTCAAACCAGAGAACATTAAAAGGGGAACAGTACAAAACAATGGACGTATCAGAGCATTTATAACTCTACACGGCACCGTAGACTCAACACTGCCACCCATCGACTCAACACTGCACGCATGACTCAACACTTCCACCCATAGACGCAACACTGCCACCCATAGACTCAGCAATAACTCCATAAACTCAATACTGCCACCCACACACTCGGCACTGCTATCCATAGACTCAACACTGCCCCTGTACATTAAGCAGTCTTCCCTCTCCTTAAACTCTTTCCGTTCCCTCTCTTAAAGTCTCATCTCCTCTCCATCGTCACCCATTCCCCTGCCTCTTTCCCCTCCACCACGCCCCCCTCCACTTCTTCCTGATCCTTCCCTGTAACCCCTTCGCGCGATTCCCAAATACCCCCTCTATCACTGCCGTCACTCGTTACTCAATACCCTTGTAGCACGCCCCTTCCGCCAACTGCATCATTCCACTCGAAATCCCTCGCCTGGTATATAGTGGAGCGTGAGTTCAATCCCGACCCTGATGCCTGCTGTATATTTGGAGTCTGCTTGTCTCCCCGTGGTCGCATGGATTTTTCTCCAGGTCCTCCGTTTTTTCCCCCTGCACATTTAGAATCAACATCTCTACATGTTTAGAGTATTTGGCTGTTGCTATAAATTTTCACGTGATGATGATATCAGCCACTTCATTGAGCTGCTATCATATGTTAAAGCCAAGTCGCTTTTGAAAAAGAGCTACATAGCTCAGGGGGCATTACCTGGTAAAATTAAAATTGCTGAGAGTTTAGTATGTATGTACATAGCCAACCGCGCTAATTGGAGTTGAGGGGGAAGGACAAACTAAACAAAACAAGCAGTTCTAAAGAAATGAGTTTGTCGATCTAGATGATGATTTAAAAGTGTTCAGCTCCCAGTAATATCAGAACAAACAGCTTTCCATACGGCCGCAGAAGCGCATCTGAAAGCGCCGTGCGATGATGTGTTGACTGTCTTTGTTCGACAGCTAGGCAAAAGTTTAGTGTATAGTAGTGTGCAGTGTATAGCAGTGTATATAGTGTGCTGTATAGTAAAGCAGTGTCTATAGCATCTGAAAGCGAAGCGCGATGGTGACCACCATCTGAGTTCAATGGCCAGCAGCCAAATATCACTGCTGCTGCGAGGATGAGCGGAGTTCACGTGACGATGGTTTATTGTTCCTTGATGAGATCAGTAAGGTAAGGTGGGTCATTTGTGGCAATTGCACACTGTGTGTGTGTGTGATCAGTGCGACCTAATGCTGTATATTCGTTCGGCAATAGGAAGCTGATACAGCAACCGGGCAGACACGTTCAGATCTATGCAGTAACCCTTCACACGCTTGGCGTGCAGTGCCAGCCCTATGCAGTGCCAGCCCTATGCAGTACTCCTTCACACGCTTGGCGTGCAGTGCCAGCCCTACAGGATAGGGTCTGGAAGTGCCGGCCATAGGAACGGGTTTACTATAGGCCATGACACTTCGGTTGACCCGAGAGGACATGTGACCAGTTAAGTCTACAAAGGGCCCCAGGTGGGGGCTCGGGTGGTCACGTGGTCTGGGTCGAGATCCTGCTAGAGGGTTCTGGAAGGTGGTCGTGGCCAGGGGCGGAGCCAGCCACGCCGCAGAGGATATAAGCCGGGTCCCCCAGAGGGACCGGCGTAGTTGTTCATCCTGTAGAAAACTTCGTCTATGTTCTACGTCCTATAGGCGGGGGCTAGGGGTGGTCACGTGTCAGGGTCGAGATTCTGCTCGAGGATTCTGGCAGGTGGTCGTGGCCAAACACGGAGACAGCCACGACCCGTGAGGATATAAGCCGGGTCCCCCAGAGGGACCGGCTGCTGTTGTTCATCCTGAATAATTATACGTTCTACGTCCTATAAGAGTCTCCAACACGTGGACCGGGACCCAAGCTGTGGTCTGGTCCGTTGTAGCTAGTTATAGTGTAAATAGTGTAGTTAACCTGGTGGTCACCACCATAGGTTGTTATTCTGTTAAGGGGCAGTTACTGTGTGTTGTTGTTAATAAATGTGTTGCCTCCAAAGAGTATGTCTGTGACTCAGTTGAACTCACTACAGATGCTAAAAAAGTGGTGATTTTTACCAGAACAAACTTACCCTGTGATAGCACAGCAGTCACACACGAGTCTTCCCCTGGTGCACAGGCCTGGTCGACTTCAGGAACTCCCAACCCGCTGCTTCCGAAGCGACAAGTACGACCATCGGTCACTGCATGGCAAGGGGGGTGGTGGGGTGAGCTCATGGGAAATCGCGACATTCAACAGCATCGATACAGATCAGACCCAGAGAATAATAATAATAATGATTATAACAATAAATACTTTAATCTTATATAGCGCCATTCGTAGTGGTTGGCTGCGCACAGTGCGAAAGAAGCTCAACACACGCAGAGTTTAATTTGTTGTCCTTCCCCTGCACCTCCGATTAGTGCGGTCGGCGACGTACGGTGGTGTGAAAGAAGTTCAACATACTTACCATAGATAACACTACCCATCGACTCAACACTACCCTACTCATAGACTAATACTTCCCATAGACTCAACAATACCCATAGACTATATTCTTTGGTTCTTTCGGTAAAGTCACATCGGTAGAAATAAAATAAAACAAATCACGACGTTTCGAATGCAACACAAGTGTCAGTCATCAGGCGAAAACAAAACATTACCCATAGGCTTAACACTACCCATAGACTCACTGCCAATAGACTCAACGATGCACCATAGCCTCAAAACTGCACCTCCGATTAGCACGGTTGGCTACGAACAGTGTGAAAAAGTTCAACCTACACACATCAGTATGGGTCTTGGTGTGTTTCTGTGGGTCTCTTCTGATATTAGAATACAACTGGGCGATATGCACTTTTAAATCATCTAGACTGACAAACTCAGTTTGTTGTCCTTCCCCCGTATCTACAATTAGCACGGTTGTCTACGTACGGTGCTAAAAAAAGTTAAATGTACATTCTACACTTCTGTACACTACACTGATGGTGGGAAGACAAAGCGAAAGAGATCCAACATCTTGCCGACATATAATATGCCTGGCTTTTTCAGTGCCACCAGAACCGCCTATGGTCCGAGCACTTGGGGAACAACCCCCCACTGAGGGCTAAGAATGGAGGAGATCTGATCAAGGAGAGGGAACTCAACACACGCTGAAAAGATAATTTTGAAAATAAGCGCAATCGAGACTCGTTTGTCGATAGTGTTTTCCACTCTGTTCCACAACACCCAATCAGAAATGAGCTTGGAACCCCCTCAACCCTTGATAACATGAAAGACATCAAGCAGATGAAGAGCAATAGGGGCTGGGAGCTGATGGAATCCCTGCTGAAATCTTCAAAAAAAGGAGAGGATCTCGACTAACGGCTCCAAGCGCTCACGTTGAAAATTTAGAAATACGAGGACATCCCGAACGACCTCAGAGATGCCATGGTTGTGACAATCTTTATGAAAGGACATACATCCGAATGTGGAAATCACAGAGGGATTGCCTTGCTGTCCACTGCAGGAAAGATAATTGCAAGAACTTTCCTGAACCGTCTTCTGCCACTTACTGATAAACTCCTCCCAAAATCCCAATGTGGGTTCAGGCCATCGAGAAGCACAACTGGCATGATCTTCGATGCTCATAAACTGCAGAAAACATGTCAGGAACACAAACCTCTCGACATTGACTTCTTTGACCTCACGAAATCCTTTAATTCTGTCAACCGAGGAAATACTGTAAAGATCCTTGAAAAGTATGGATATCCACCGAAATGTGTCACTTCTTCGCCTGCTGCATGGTGGTATGCGAGCAATGATTCTTAGTAATGGATCCATCTCACGCCACTTTGAAGTTAAAACTGGAGTCAAACAAGGCTGCGTCATTACCCCAACACTCTTCTCAATATTCTTCACTGCGATGCTACAGCTAACTACTGGCAAGCTTCGAGCAGGAGTGGAGCCAAACTAACAAATTGATGGCAAGCTGTTCAGGATCAACCGACTTCGATCTAAAACTAAGACCATCCCGACAGCAGTTGTTGTTGAGCTCCAGTATGCTGACGATGCTGTCGTGTGTGCCCACATGGAAGTGGATCTTCAGGCAATCAAAACTTAACTAAGGCACATGAGAAAATAGGACTGACGCTTAATATTTTAAAGATGAAGGTCCTTAATCAACCAGTTATCAATGAGCAGTCCCCACTTTCGACAATTTACATCCATTACTGGAATGCTGATGTTGGTAAATAAATCCAAAATCCTCTGAAATGTGTAAGTGCAGCTTTTGGTCGGCTGAGGAAAAGGGTTTTTGAGGAATTTGACATTAGGTTCAAAACCAAGATCATGGTTTACCAAGCAGTCGTAATCGCTACCTTTCTGTACAGAACTGAGACGTGGATAATATACAGGAGACGTCTTAAAGCACTGGAGAAGTCCTATCAAGATTGCCTGCAGAAGATCCTTCAAATCAGGTGAGAAGACAGACTCACAAACGTCAGCATCCTCTTGCAAACAAACACCACGAGGATTGAGGCCACGATCATTCGACGTCTTCATTATGCCTAACTCCAGCTTATTTGGGGTGTGCATTCAAGAGGAGGGCAGAGACAGTGCTTCAAGGATGTCCTGAAGGCCAACATGAAGAAGTGCACTATCGACACCAACTCAAGGGAGGCTCTTGCCCAGTATCACCTCAGCTGGAGACAGATAGTCTCTTTTTAGGATCCAAACATATTGAAACTCCAAAGGCGGAAACAGGAAGAGGAAAATCGGGAATGGTGGAAACATCATGCTGCAGCCCAACTTACTAATCCAGTTCCACCCACCACCCTTCATGTATTTTCAGACCCAAAGATAATTAAACTTTTCTATGGAAGACACTCATCCTCGATTGCGAGGGAGAGCCTATGATGATAACACAGCACATTACCCCACTACACTATGTAAAAAAAACATTTTTTTTCAGACTGCTTGTTTTCAATTCATCGTCCTTTCCCAAGCACATCTGATTAGCACGGTGCGAAATGAAGTTTAATGTACACACACGCATACTCCACATTACAGAAATAAGATAAAGGTGGGTTAAACAATCTGTCCGTCAATTGAAATCCACTACCGCCATTGCAGAGATCGGTCTGGCAGCAGGTGTAATCGTTCACGGTGCCGGTGAATGAAGAGGCGATGCCGGTGATGTATTGCTTTATCTCCGTCTTGTAATCGGACGTCGCACACGCCGCCGTGACGCCACATCCCCTGAATTGGAATGTTTTGCCACCTGCAAAACAAGGAGGCGATCGCAAACTGTTTAGATCAACGTTGTAGTGACCTGGACCGAGTTTTATTGTCCCCCGCATAACCACCCCTCCCCAGAGCAGCTCAAAGTCACTTAACCTGGGGAATTGGTCCCACTAAACTAGAAACAATTTTTTTAATTTGCTAGATGTAAGGCCCCACTGAGCTATGTAGCTATTTTTCAGACAAGCCACCTGACCATCACAAATAATAGCAACTTAATGAAGTGACGGATAATCACGTGGAAATTTTAGCAGCCAAATACTAAACTAAACTATTTTTAATTGACCAGGTAAGGCTCAGAGCTACGTAGCTTTTTTTTAACATAAGCGACCTGGCCATCACAAATGATAGCTGAACAAAGTGGATTATCACGTGCAAATTAAATAGCAGCCAACTACTCGAGGGGAAAAAATCCATGCGACCACCATGGGGAGAAAAAGAGAGAGATGCAGCCTCCAAATATACAGCAGCAGGTTTTGTCAGGGTTGGGATCGGGATCGAACCCACGACCTCTATACAAGGCGAGGTAGTTAACATCTCCTAGCAACTGAGGGCTCAGTGGGCCTTGGTAAAATTAAAAGTTTTGTTTAGTTCTCTCTCCACATAGACTCCCCCTTTTATCATAATCAGAATATATATTTAAACTCCAGGAGGAATCCAATGAGATATAAAGGCAGGTGGTAAGAGTGTTAAAAAAACGAACAATACAAAACACAATAATCGTGCAAAGTACAATAAAGGTAAAAAAATCACCTGTACACATACAAATGAAACTAAACCATGCCCATCCTGCCAGGAAAAGCCTATTGAGGTATTAACAAATTTTTGAGAAGTAAACTGGCTTTCACAAATTATAGCTCAATAAAGTGGCCCATTATTCGGACATTTGTTGCAGTAAAATTATTTAAATTATCTCAATGCATGTTTCTAACCGTGGAGGAAAAAAAACAGAGGAACTGGAGAAAAAATCCACGTGACTACGAAGAGAACATGCAAACTCCCAATATACAGCAGGCGTCAGGATCGAACTAACGACCTCCTGCATACCAGGTGAGGAATGTAATATCTCACCACCGTAGCACCCCTTTAATAAATAAATAAAATATATAAGTTCAAATTGCGTAATCAATGATTAAGCTTCGGAAATGGGGCAGTTAACAGAAAAACAGCCTCAGACCACACCAAGACACAGTCCTTTAAAATATTTTTACATTAAAATGGAACTTAAAACATTAAATGAATTAAATCTACAAATCACATTGGAAAATGTGACTGTATCCAAGACTAATTTTCAACATCCCCTCACCAACTGCAATGCCTCTTACCCCCTCCCTTATGTCATTTAAAAATCCACAATACTTGTCTGAAGGGGGCACAGGTAATGCAAAGGGGTTAGGGACCAGAGCAGGCAAGGGGTTAGGAAGCAAGATCGGTACGCAAAGCATACATGCCAACCCCTTATCAGTGCCTACCTTATTACAGACCAATTCAGACCTTATTGGTCACCTCATGTCCTTATAAATATCAACGTTCATCCTACAGAATCTCATCACAAGGCAGAAACACAAAGAAGTAGACAAAAACTATGTTTTGCCCGCATTGAAATAGCTGTGGGACATATGGTCCTGAAAGCTCAATTTCCCTGTACAATAATACGTGTAAAACCGTATGGGTTGACACGTATGGCAATGGTCGTCCAAATGATCTTCCCGGGCCAAACCGTTACCCTGCGTTAGGGTGGTGGTTAAGCAGGAGTCTTCGCCTGTCGCGCAGAACTTATATTCTTCGGTGATTCCCAGTCCGGCACTCCCATAGTAGCAGATCTTTCCAGTGGCTGCAACAACAAAACAAACCACGCTCGCATCAGCAAGTGAGAGAGACAGAGAGAGGTCGATAATTAATGAGAAGGTACTGTAGCAAGAGAAGTCAGGTGGTGAAGGGATAATGAATGAGAGGGAGCTGTATCTAGAGTAGACACGTGGTGAAGGGATAATTAATGAGGGGGTGTGTAGCTCCGCTGATGCGTTTCTCGTCACGAGTTGTAAAAAGCTCATGTAACTTATTAAAAGGTCGTACCTTTATCTTCTTTCACAACTCGTCGGAGCTTCTTAACACAAGCACAGCACACCGGTTGTGTGTTGTAGAGTAAACCCACTACAACGTTTAAAAATCGAGTGCCATGATTTTTCGCCAGTAATTACAACTAGCAGCATCATCAGGTGACAGCCAAAGTTGTGCAGAAATCGTCCTCCTGTCTTGGTCTTAAACAAAGCGTGACGATTTAGTTGAATAATTCAGCACTAACTGGTTGTTGTGTGTTGGAGAGTTCAACCCACAACACATTTACACAATTGTGTAGCTGGTGACGTTTCGCTTGGGGTGTGATTACAACAACCAGCGGCCAATTTTGCCTGTCGCTTGATGAGGCTAAGTTTAGTTTTCCATTTGTCAGTAAGGTTTTGACAGTAGGTAACCACGAAATAAGAGAGAGATGAGTCTTAAGAGACAGAGAGATGAGGCTTAGTTTAGTTTAATATTTGTTGGGTAGGTTTTATAGCAGGTAACCCACGAAATAAAGGGGGGGGGGTGAGAGTGCAAATCCCTAATTCGAAATCCCAACTTACCGCCGTTGCAGTTTTTTGTTTGGCAGCAGCTGTAGTACTTGACGATGCCCGTGAACGAGGGCTTCATGCTCACGACGGTTTGTCTGATCTGCGTCTTAAAGTCGGGCGCGTTACATTGTGCCTGGGTGGAGCAAATTTTGCCCTTGAACATTCGATCGCCTGCAAAACAAACGCATGCGAATTGTGAGTGGAAACGGCAATGTGCTTTGGTGTAGCCAGTGTGTGTGTGTGAGCTTACCTGTGATTGATCACACGTATATAATCGTGCACTCTAATAGCTAGGCCATAGCCAGGTGCGTTTTTATGATTATTATTTAAGAGAAGGCAATGGTGAACAGGGATCGGTCTGAGGCCCTGTGGGCACAGCTTAGTACGGGGCAAACATCCCCCAATTTAGAATTGGGTGGACTTTCGTGCTGTTAAGCTGCATAGCTCCGATATTATATATAACTGTTAAAATGATATTGCTTGAATGTCCATCGACTGACAGGAGGATCTCGGTAATGTTATTTGACCGTTCAGTTATTGCTGGTAATGAAGATGTTGCACGATTAAGACGTTGATATTAAAGTTGATTTTAACACGTAAATACTTGTAATAATTCGGTCTGGAATATCAACACTGGCGCTCAATCCCATTTACACTCTGAGAAATTGAGCTGCGGCGTTGTGCACATGGAGGGGTGATGAGAGAAGTGTCCGGTCACTCTTGCAGATACGCAATTGCCCCTTAGGGAGAAGACCTTTAGAAATGAAAATTTTGCTGTCCCACAAACCCACCCCCCGGTGCTCAGCTGTTTTGGAATCACCCACTTTCTCTTCGGGAGAGACAGAACACAACACTGAGTCAATTTATTTATCGTCGTCTATCCAATTTTATTATTTAGTAATCATTGTTGCGGTCGTGTATTTAGCTGACATGTCCCTCCCCCCCACCTCGTTAGAGGGGCAGGGTAGACTGGCTGCATTTGCATTGCGATCAAGTTGTTAATACCTTGCTGGAAGAGACAGGAAAGACTTCTGATCGTCTCTCCACGTTTTTCCTCATCATGCGCTGTGATATATACCACACCGTAACGTAGCCCAACTGTTGAGCTAATCTGAGGTGCGGGGGAAGGATGACCAACTAAATACACCTCAATAAGCAGTTATAAAGAAGTCCGTCAATTTCAATTATTAAAAAATGCACAGCTCCCAGTGGATTCCTAATATCAGAAGGAAGAGCGTTCCAGACGGCCGCATAAGCGCATCTGAAAGTTCGCGATGCGATGACCATGTTTGTTCGATGGCTAGCCAAAATCACAACCCCTATCACGACCCATATCACTCACCCCGATCACTATCACTACCACTAATCACTACCCCTATCTCTATCCCTGTCATTACCACTACCCAAAGCCCTATCACTGCATTCAGGTGTGTAGCTAAATCATGGCCTCACTTGAATAGCTTACCCTGAATCAGCAGTGCAGTCACACATGAGTCTTGTCCAGAACGGCAGTACGTGTTCTTTTCAGCAACTTCCAAACCGACAATTCCAGTATAGCAGTATTGACTCACTGCAAAACGTGGGAGGAAGCTCAATAAATCCTGTGAATTTAATCACAATGGCAGGTTGCAATCACACACACAAAGCGCTTGCCACGAATGATCCACAATACAGACAGTCCCTGGGTTACACGGAAGGGTTACGTTCCATAGAACGATCCATATCCAGAATTTTCCATACTTTGGAAACTAGACAATTTTGCCCCTACATCAAGATAAAAGCCCATATCCCGAAATAGTTGTAGCCTCCCCTACCGTTTTCTCTCGGCACTGTATCGCACTGTCGTGTATCGCGCTATCACTACCTGTATCATATCGCTGTACATATGAAGTGTTGTTGAAGACGCGTGGACAACGGGGTAAGGCACACGTATTTATTTACACAAAGGGCTTACAGTACTAGAGGGATGTATCGGCCCCCTCACCCGTACAACTGGGAATTCACCCCTAGCTAGCCTTCCTAGCTGAGTCCTCCGCTAACGGGCTAGGGGAGGCTGTCTGGCCCGACACTGGTTAGTCGGGCTACGGTACCCGGAATCCCAGAGGTCTGACTCTGGTTCCGGGACCACGCCACTGGCTCCAGCCTGCACCGCCCTTACAAGGGCGGCGTCCCAGGGGGAGTCCAGGGCCTATCTGGCCGGTCTTCTCTCTTCTCTTAACTACTCTAAGACTGAGCCCCGAGCTCTCTGGCTCAACCCTTTTTATACCCCGTTAGAGGATCGAAACCCCCCTCACGCCGTCCAGTACGGACGTCGTTGCGGGCACCACCCCGTGTGCTCACGGAGACCCCGCCCACTGTGTCTGTTTTCCGTTAGCCCCTATGTAAACAGCCCTACACAAACAGACCCTCTGTAACAGCCCTACATCACCCCCCCCTGTACAGCTCGCAGCCGTCCCGGCTGCAACAACTTTCAATAAAGGTTATTTAACCCCTAGATCCCCGCGTGTGCCTTAAAAAAACGTTTTTAACGCTAACTTGAAGGAACCAACAGTAACTACAACAACAACGACAATGATAACAACAAACCCTCAACCCTGAAAGGGAACAATCCGACGCACCCCCCCCGAATAAATACGGATACCGTAAGAGCAAGCTATATACAATTTGTAGCGAAGCCACAATGCACACAACAGCAGGTGAGCCCAACGTACGTGAATGCAATGGGCAGGGAACACCCCCCCCCCCACACAACACACACTGAACACAACATATATACAAATCTTGCGGTTCCTCAACAGTCTGCGCATTTTTGCGCGTGTCCTTGCGGTTTCACAACAGTCTGCGCATTTTTGCGCGTGTCCTTGCGGCGGGCCCCTCACACGGGGAAACCCCGGGTGGCGGACCGTCAGGTGGCGATCGTCCGTCCGGGAGCGGGGCCTCCTCTGATGCCTCGTGACTGTTGGTATCCCCAGAAGGGGTGGTCGGGCGTGAGCCCGTCAGTCTCGATGCACCTGGAGGTGGCACGGCCGGCAAGGCATTAGGTGAGCGCGGTGGAGACGGACCCAGTGAGTCGGTCGACCCCCCACACGTCTGGCCACGCATGTGTGAAGTGGGTTTGTGTGCCGCGACGAAAGGTTTCAACCGAGAGGGGTGCACGAACCATCGCCGCTTCCCCCAACGAATGCGCACGCACTGTGGTCGCAGGACCTCGACCACTTCCACAGGCCCCCGCCACGGCCGCGCCAGCTTTGGGGAGGTAGCCAGGGGTACTTGGGGACAGTGCAACCATGCCCTGTCCCCCGGTTTCCATTGTATGACATGCGCCCGACCCAACCTGAGGCGCTCGTTCGCCTTTTGACGGAGGTCCGAGTTTAACCTCGCAGCATCCCGCGCCTCTGTTAATTTAGCCAAATTAAACTTGACGTGGTCAGCCAATTTAGTTTTTCCTTGCTGGTCGGGGATCTGCAGCTGGGCGCGGGTCGGGTTCGCGACCGTACATAAGGTAAAAGGGGGAAAACCCCGTAGCTGCATGGGGTGCCATCCGATATGCCGCCAAGACCCCCTGAATATGCAGGTCCCAATCAGTCTGGGAATCTGAGACCTGCTGTGCCATCATTGACGAAATGGTGCGATGCAAGCGCTCGACCATTCCGTCAGTCTGTGGGTGATACGGGGAGGTCCGAATTTTCTTTGTGCCTAAGAGGTCACAAACTTGTTTAAGTAATTTGCTGGAAAAATTTTTACCCTGGTCGGTCAGCAGCCGTTCCGGGGCACCTTTGTCCAGGACGTATCCCTGAACAAAGGCGTCCACGATGGCTGCTGCCGACTGGTTGGCAAGGGGCCAGGCCATGGGCCAGCGTGTAAAATACTCGACTCCTGTCAGCAAATACTTATTGCCCCTGGGGGTGGCGGGAAATGGGCCCAAGATGTCCAGTGCGACCAGCTCATTTATTCTGGACACCTTGATTGATTGCAAAGGCGGGTTAGACTCCCGCGCCGGCGGTTTCCGCTGCGCACACCGCGGGCATGAACTCAAAAGATCCCCCACATCCTTTGTCATACCAGGCCAAAAAAAATCCAACTGTATCAGTGCAAGGGTCTTTAAAGTCCCCAGATGTAACAGGCGCTCATGCGCGGCCCACACCACTTTGCCTCGCAACTCCGAAGGGACGACCAGCCGATGTCGCTGTGATTTTGCGTCCCAATGCATGAGCAGACCCTGTACCATTTCCCATGCACCCGAATCACCTTTCACCCGGCCAGCACCCCCGACGCGACGACGCCACCCGAGGAGGGAGGTGTCCTCCATTTGGAGGCGCCCCCACTCAGTGACGGGCAACCCCAACAGGGAATCCCTTCCCTGTTGTTCGATTGAGTTATCAGCCAGTGGCTCGTCGTCGTCGGTGGCTGCCAGGATCGGGACCGATGCGTCCCCTGAAGGTCTGCAACGTCCCGACCCCAGGAGGCATGCACATTCCGAGGCGGTTGGCATGCGTGACAGAGCGTCCGCGTTGGTATGGCGAACGCCCTTACGGTAAGTGGTCTCAAAATCAAAATCCTGGAGAACCTCCAACCATCGAGACAACTGTCCCGATGGTTGTTGAACCCGCAGGGCATACTGTAGTGCCGCATGATCTGTGCGGACGGTGAAATGCCGACCGTACAGATATGGGCGGTACTGTTGGATGAAAAAAACAATTGCCAACAGTTCTCTACGGGTAACACAATATCTCTGCTCCGCAGGAGACAACACCCGACTACCGTATGCGACCACCCGTTCAACGCCATCAACCACCTGGGAAAGCACACCCCCAATACCCGTGTTGCTCGCATCGGTGTCGAGCAAAAAGGGTTTCGAAAAATCAGGGTAGATCAAGGGAGGGGCTTTCACCAGGGCGTCCCGAAGGGAGCGAAACGCAGCCTCCTCCTCTTGACCCCAGTGGAAACGAACCCCTTTAGATGTTAGAGCGTGCAGGGGTTTAGCGATCGTTGCAAAATCAGCAACAAACCGTCGATAATACGACGCGAACCCAATAAAACTCCTGACTTCTCCCACTGTGGTGGGAGTCGGCCAGGAGCTGACACACTGCGTTTTGGCGGGATCGGTAGCAATACCTGAGCGTCCCACGATGTGCCCCAAATAACGCACCGAATCACGCAACAAATGGCATTTTTGGGGCTTAAATTTCAAATTTGCAGCCCGCATCTTTAGGAAAACTGCCCGCAACCTCTGGAGATGCTCATCAAAAGTTTTACTAAAGACGATAACGTCATCCAAATAAATGAGGCACGACTCCCATTGCAGTCCAGCCAAAACCAATTCCATTAAACGCTGGAAAGTTGCCGGCGCTGAGTGCAAGCCCATCGGCAACCTGTTGAATTGAAACAAGCCGTGCGGTGTACGAAAAGCAGTTTTAGGCTTAGACTCATCATCCAGAGGAAGCTGCCAGAATCCCGAAAGTAAATCGAGTGTGGAAAAGAATCGCGCTCCCGCCAAAGCGTCAAGCGATTCATCCATCCGAGGGAGCGGGTATGCGTCGGCAACCGAAATTTTATTAAGACGCCGGAAGTCAACGCAAAACCGCAACGAACCGTCCTGCTTTTTAACCAGGACGATCGGCGCTCCCCAAGGGCTGGTGGAAGGAGAAATGATGTCCGCGGCTAACATGTCATCAACAGCCGATTTGACATGTTCCTTTTCGGCGGGACTCAACCGAAACGGATTTTGGCGAATTGGCGCGCTGTCACCCGTGTCAATATGGTGACGCAGCAAGTGAGTGCAACCCAAATCATATTTATCTCGACTAAAAACGTCGGAAAATTCTCGTAATAGCGTTTTAAGTTGTTGACGCTCTGAATCGGACAGGTCCGTCGATCCCGCACAAAGCGCCTCGAGCCACCCTTCATCGCTGTCCGAACGCGGTCGCGACGCAGGGACAGTGTTGACGGAATTGACGGCGGGCTCCTCACACGGCACCGGCGTTGCGTGAGCAAGCACGGTCCCCTGTGGGAGCACCACCGTCCGCGAGCCCACGTTTAGGACCGCGATGAAGGGTTCACTATCCCCTCTCACTATGGTCTGGGCCGGTAGTAAATCAGGTCCACTAACCCCGGCCCTAGACGGTCCCAACAGTACCCCTTGTGCCCCGGCACCCTTAACGAGGGGCCGCCGAAGCTTCAAAGGCACCAACATTTGCGTTCCCGGAGGAACGCGTACCGTTCTCTCCACGAACGCCGGCACCGTCGCGAACGCCGTCCGAGTCGCAACTGGTGATGGCAAAAACGCCATGCGTCTGCCCGATGGAAGCTCTATGCACCCCTGGTCGATCAAAATTACAATCGGCATTTTGGCCAGGAAGTCCGTCCCCAGCAGGCACGGAACCGCCAGCGAGGACGAAACAAAAATCGGCCCAGACAATTTTATTTCCCCGATACAAATTTGTGCACGAATTTGTCCGATGATGCCAAGTGAGCCCCCGTTAGCCGCATAGAATGGTATGTTGACTGGCATCAAGGGACGACTCCGGACAGGGAGAATGTTATAAATTAATTCCGAAATAATAGTCGCCG